CTCAGGCTTAACATGGTTAAAACAAGGCAGGATAGAGATGCACCTTATAGACTGAGTCAGATATGCATAAGCTTTTGTGAGTAAGAGCAACTTAATTGCATGCTAACAGAGTTCTTAAGCACACCATCTACTAAAGGCTCCCTTCTACATTCTTTTTTTTTACAAATCCCCCAGTTTTCTTGTCATAATGCTGCAACTTTGGCATTATCTTCAACTCAATCTCTTTAGGTCCTCATAATCAAGCTATATCAAAGGTTCTGTAGAATGTTTACTGCAGAGTCTTATCTCAGATGTGGCCTCATATATGTATCCTGTCATAAAAGCTCTTTTACGAGCTTTCATTACTTTACGTCTTGAATACTGCAGCTTCCTTTTCTCTGTCCTTAAAAGCACTGTCTGCCCTAGGATGCTCTTGCAAAGATCAGTTTCCTTGTCTGTCTTCTCTATGCAGCCATTTCTGGCTTATCCTTGTCTATCACACCAAATGCAAGGCGCTTTTCTTCACTATTGAAGCCCCCCACACTATCTCTTGTTTAAAAATAGAAGGTTGACTCCTGCTTTTGACTGGTTTGGGACACTAGCCTCCATCATACATGGGTTCAATTTTCCAAGCATTGGAAGAAACAAAGGAAAGAGCTTCTTGTAGACATCCTTAAAGCTGCCTCCTCATTTTCCTTCAAATTTCTTGAAATTCTTGCTTGCCTTGATAATTAAAGCAAAAAATCTACCCCCTAGGTGGTAGGTCCATTAGGCCAACCAGTATTTATGCACCATGTGTTCTTCCATTTCTCTGTTTCCATCTGCCCCTTTCCTTATGCTTATGGGAGTTGTAAATACTTTGGGCCAGAGACTCTTTCTGTCCTCCCTCAAACCTATATGGAAAATCCTCAAACAGTTACAACCTATAATAGAAGGAGACCCAATTCTTAAAGAGATCTTCCCAGAACGATGTATCCTAGCCTTCAAACAAGCACTGAACCTTACTAACTTCATCACCAGAAGCAAACTTTCTGCGGTCCAAAGCGCACCGAATGGATCCAGACCTTGCCATGACAAGAAATGTAAAAACTGCCAACATATCTCCACCACCCCAACAATTACTACATCCCACAACAGAACCAACACTTTTCATGGATGAGCCTATGAACTTCATCAACCTCCTGGATACAAAAAATCATCGACAAAATATAAACATTGGATTTATGATGCACTATAACCTGCCTGACATCTGACTCCCTAGGTACCTCTCCACTATTTACCAGCTAAATTCATCCCCCCCCCCCCCCCCCCACCCACCATCCCCCCCCCCGCCTCCCACCGTAGTCTCTCACCCACTGATTCCTCAATTTACATCTTCATTGACTGCCTGTCTTGCATGCATATCAGCCCAGCCTCTGGCTTCTTTATTATTCATTCCATCCAGAGCACACACCAACTGCAGGTGCTTCCTCAGCCTGACGAAGGGTATTTAAACCCGAAAGCTTGCTAGGAAGAATTTTTCCACTATTTGAGTTGGTCTAATAAAAGAGATCAGATTTACCCAAAGAACCTTGTCTGCCTATGTCCTTAGACCAATATGGTACAACCTACACCCCTGTGAAAATGGTAATCATGCGCTGGACATAGTGTTTCATTTCTTTTTCTCTGTTTCACGTGTTTTCTCTGCTCCTGACCAGATAATCTGTTGTTAACATTCATATTTTTTGTTATTTTCAGTATCCACATTAGAGATAACTAGCTTCAAGAAAAAGTGCTTTAAAAGTGCCTGATCACATGATAATTAACCCTCATGAGGGTTCAGATGAAAGCACTCCTAAATGGGAAAGCAAGCCTCTTCCCAGTGGGGGGCCTGCGCTGTGGAAGGGAGCGGGGTGGGCAGAGCTTTTGCCGACTGTATGTGGCGAGTGGTGGCGGCACTAGATGGGGCTTTTGGGGCTATGGCCACCCTTCTCAGTGCCAGTGCCACTCCTCGTCCCATGCAGTCTGCCGCAACTCTGGCCGCTCCACCCGCAGCACAGCCACTCCACTGGCAAGAGGCTTATGCTCCTGGGACACCCATGAGAGGGGCTGCTGCCCCCAGTGCTCCAGCAACAGGGGCAGTGGCATAGCCCCGGAGGTGAGGTGGCTGGGGGGGGTGTTATTTCCCCCTTCCCTCTGGTGTCTGGCAGAAGGGGTAGAGAAGGAGCTTATTCTGTCATTTGCCCTGGCAAGGAGTGATCGGTGGTGGTGGTTGGGGCAGGCAGCCCTGGCTGCAGGCCACTGGGGGTGGAGCGGGGAATAAACCATCGCTCCCTGTCCAAGTCTGGCCGTGCCTGCCCCCAACCCTGCTCCTAGTGCCACTGCCACTCACCCCACAGTCTGCAACAGCTCTGCCCACCCCACTCCCACCTGCAGTGCAGGCCCCCCACTAGGAAGAAGCTTGCACTCCTGGGATGCCATAAGAGGGTGCTGCACCCATCACAGTTCATACCCTCTCTCTGCTCCAGGGGCAGGGACATGGCCACTGCTGCTGCAGTGAGGGGGGAGTGCCAGGCATACCCCTGCTCAGGTCCATGCCAGTGGGACAGGGAGGGGAAGATTAAACTCCATCCTTGGCCAGTTCACTTGAGGCTACTGCTGGGGCTGGCCATGCCCCTGCTGCTGGAGCAGCGAATAGAAAAATGGTGGGACAGGAGAGGGAAGGGAGAATAAATCTCTGCCCCTGCTCCGGCTAGAGAGTACAGGGGTGGGGCCAGCCATGCCCTGCTAGAGCAGAGTGCACAGTCCTGCCCAGGGCTGCATAGCATGCTGGGATGCTGGGGGACTCTAGTTTAAGTTAAACCAGGAAGGGGTCTGGGACAGAAGTTCCATAAATGAGTCTGAGCTCAATCATAGACTTCATAGATTTCATAGATTTTTAGGGTCGGAAGGGACCTCGGAAGATCATCAAGTCCAATCCCCTGCCCCTGGATAG